AGGCATCCATGTTTGTCAATGTCACTAACCAGTAGGTGGCAGTAGTGTTCTTTGACAAACATGGATGCCTCCAGTAAAGCACATTCACATGAAAATTACTCTGAATTAAAAACACTGATCATTTATTGAACAGGATGGAATCATTTCAGATTTAAAGAACTTTCAGAAGCAGAAAACATGATTTTTGATTCTAAAGATGTTTCTTGTTCCTATGGATTATGTAGGAAATTAACTGTGTCTGTTTTCAGATGATCTAGCCTTGTTTATTTATTTTCTCAATAAAAGTTTAAAAAATTACCCTTTAAAAAAGAAAAATCCAGAGGTTTTTATTGTCTTTAATTTATCACGAGTAGACGTATAAAGATGGATCACAACATAAAAGTTGGTTTGATCTTTTCTTTCTCCACTTTAACCATAAATGGAAATATTAAATTAGAACCTTTATATTGTTCCCTTCTGCTTCCCACATTAAGTCCCGGTCTGACATAGAAAGAGGTACATAGAAGTTAAAATCCAAATTTCTAGCAATCATAAAAATAATTGTATGATGAAACAGAATTTAATACTCAATTAAATCAGATGCATTTGTTACATCAAACCAGTCACTTATGGGGCTTGTGCATCATTACGCGGGCATTACGCTGTCGTTAGAAGTTCTGGACTCATTATTAATACTCTATGCATACGCCCAAAATTGAAAAAAATCCATAGAAAGTTCAGCGTCTGCCAGCATTTTAGGAGCTTCTGGGACGTCAGGCAGATGCTGGATATAGATGCTCAGGGTGTGAAAGGAGCCTGAAAGATCTGCATCATTTTCCCATCAATCTCCAACCTATTAAAAGATTCAAGGGAAATTTATTTTATGAATGAGATGGATAAATGCCAGTGAATAAAAGTTTGCCTTTTTTTGGGATTACTTATTTAATGTTTATCTCTTAAATCTTTCACATGATCAAATTCCAACAAATAGAAAAACAAGATGAAATAGATTTTAATCAGAAATGGGTCGGTTACTGGTTTCCAGGTAAAACCCGCTAAGATAAAGTTAAAACCACTTTAGTTTCCTGTCATACTGGTCCTCTGATAAGTGATTTGGTTAAACTTTATAATAACCATCATTTATAGATAGTAAAGAAAGCAGTTATTAATGAATAACAGATGCTTTATTTGTTTGATCATTTATAAAAGGTAAATACCGGTAGGTAATTTATTAAGGCCTCTGATGTTGGTGTTAGGATCAAACTAAAATGACAATTTGATCTGTTTACCTTTTATAAATGGTTTAGATTAGATTAGATTGGATTCAATTTTATTGTCATTACACAGGTTCAGGTACAAGGCAACGAAATGCAGTTTAGGTCTAACCAGAAGTGCAAAAGCAGCAAGTGCAGGATTTACAATGGTTCAATAAATACACACTGGAAAAAAGATCTAGAAATAAGTAAACATTTCTTAAATGAAGTGTATTTACCCTTAAGTGGGTAAATGAGATAGTTTGCCACTGGAATTACTAATTTTACTCTTATAATAAGATAATTAGATCATATGCACTTGAAATAAGACAATGCAATTGAGTTTTCTTGTTTTAACTTTAAGTTGTCTTGTTCCATTGGCAAAGTGTCTCTTTTACGTCCTTAATCCAAAAACAAAAGCACTTATTTTAAGAAAAAACGACTTATCCAGATTTTAATTTTTTCCAGTGCAGGACATGGATTTCTACTGAATGAGAATAGAGATGAATACTATTATAAATAATGAATATAATATATAGATCACTATTTTTATTAACTAAATTTACAGCTGGATATGTACCGAATATAATATACGGGTGGATATTACTATTAAAAAAAGGGTTTTTACAGTTATGTACAATAGCATAATATACAGAAGGGTTTTACTATAAAATCAATAAATAGAGTTTGGACAGAAGTGGGAAAAAGTTGTTCTCTAGTCTGCTGGTTCTGGTCCGGAGGTACGCCTGCCGGAGGGCAGGAGAGAAAACAGTCTGTGGGATGGGTGGATGCAGTTAATCAATGATTATAAAATATAGTAAACTGTTTATCGTTTATAAACGGTCTCTTTGCCATTTATAAATGATGCTTATATAAAATAGTTTTCAGTGATATTTGGGTACAGAGAACTTTTCAGGGGTCTGACTTCAACAAGTTGGAGCTCCGCTCCTGTTTTTCACTTCATCAATAAAGTACCGAACTATAACCCTGGATTACTGCTTAACATGCTGATGACCATACGTCAAAATCCGTCAACATCTGCATGATGCATAAATGTATAACTATAAAGCATCTCATGCTCATCCAGTGTGATTTCCAGCGAGTCACAGTAGAGTGAGCTTTTTCGCCTCAACTATTATAAGGACCTACTGCGCTACGCTGACAAACTAATTTCATCCACATTGAGGAAAGTCAGTATTTCCCAGTGTCGTAAACCTAAAAGGAAATAAGAGCTGATTAAATCTGACAACCCACTGATTGTTCACGTTTCAAAAAGCATAGCTCAGCAATGAAACTGTAATTAGGAGATAAGATCTCATAATATTAAGATCAGGATGTCATAATTATGAGATAATATCTCCTTATTATGAGACACTGATCTCGTAACTAAACGCTATTTCTGACATTTAGAATTGAAAACCTTCCTGGATGGAAGAGAAACGTCTTCAAACTGGGAAACAAAGTCCAGTGGATTGATTTTCATGTTCTTGTTTTGGAAAACCGAAAAAATCTAAATAATAGTGAAAGCTGCAGTGAAAGATTTAAAGTGGGAAAAGGTTGAAAGTATGACGGGAAACCAGTAGGACCATCAGAAACTAACAGAGTGACAATAACTTAAAGATAAATTAGAATCATGAGGATTAATTTGATTAAGTATTTGTTATTGATTATGTTTTGTTAAATTGAATAGTTTGGAAAGTTATAATTTATTATATTTTTGGGAGGGTGAGTCTTGTTTCCTGTTTCCTTGTTTGGCTCCTTATCAGTTGGTGGCAGTGATGCACTTTAACTAGTTTACCAACCGCCATAAAACACTATGAGAAGAAGAGTCAGAGTCAGCACTTAAAGTCAATACTCAATAGAGAAAATAGGATTTTCAATATAAACCTTTTAAGAAGTAAATTAATTCAGCTAGAAACCAGTTGCTGGATTATTTAATTGTATTTAAAGTAAGAATATAAGCGTGTGTTTGCATGTGCATATGCTCATATATTATATATAAGTGAGTTTGTTGAATTGATAGATAATATGCAGATTTGTGTGACATCATTGATGACCTCACTCCAGTCTGATAGGTGGCGGTAAACGTACCGTCAGTTGGTTACCATCCGCCAACAAAAGAAGAAGAGTCAGAGCTTTCCTTGTCTCTGATTGGTCAGCGATCAGGAAGTTACCGGATAGCAATGTTGTTAGCTTCACTGGCTAAAAGAAAGTCGTCTTAATTTATTTCCCAAATTAATCTGTATTTAATTTTTCTCTTCGTGATAATATCTTCCTGATGAAATCTTTTTAACATGTTTTCCTCTGTGATTGTTTCCCTCATGATTAGCTGCAGGGACCGTTAGCTACCGGGAAGCTAACGCAGCTCCTCCGCTGGGGGGGCAGGAATAAATAAATACCAGCCTGTGTTTAAGTTTGATTTATCTGCAGACCGAGATTCTGGGACCAGTTAGTGAAAACAAACCCAGCGAGCCGCCCTGCTGGGCCTTTATTTGCACCATTTCACACCAGGATTGTGAAAATCCTGATCGAGATGATGAAGGTTGAAGAAGGTGATCCTGGAGGCTCAGTGTCCAACATCCCTGCAGATCATCTCAGCTCATCAGAGGAGCAGAAGGAAGACAGCAAAGAGCTCAGTAAGGGACTCACATCCTGCATGTAATCCACAGGCAGAGATTAGGGTTCATCAGATTAATCCTTTAATTTAATCCAGTAGGCTGATCAGAGAAAATAAAAACCAGAATGAGGAAAAGATGACACAAATCAGTTAGTGAATAAACAGCTGCTTCAAAAATACAGATCATGTTTTCAGTTTAATGAAAAATTCACGCAGGGTTCCTTTATTATTATTTATTATAACTGTCTAAAGAGAGTGAATTAGTGATGGTTAATGAGGCAACTTGATTATGTCTCACAGAATACTGCCACCTGCTGGACATTTAACCTCTTAAATCCACCCAATCTGAAGTGATCCTGGCATATTTTATATTTACCCCAATGGAAAAACAAATACCTTAGGAACTGTAAACCCAAATTTACGGAAGAGGATTAGGGCCACTGAAAAAAAAATGTTAACTGATTTTTTAAATTATTTTATTTCAGTATAGTATGGGAAAA